TTAAAAAGAATTCATTTGAATCAGTTCTAATGAGATGGATGAAACTGGAGCCCATTATACAGAGTGAAGTAAGCCAGAAAGATAAAGACCATTACAGTATACTAACACATATATATGGAATTTAGAAAGATGGTAACGATAACCCTATATGCAAAACAGAAAAAGAGACACAGGTGTATAGAACAGATTTTGGACTCTGTGGGAGAAGGCGAGGGTGGGATGTTTCAAAAGAACAGCATTGAAACATGTATATTATCTAGGGTGAAACAGATCACCAGTCCAGGTTGGGTGCATGAGACAAGTGCTCGGGCCTGGTGCACTGGGAAGACCCAGAGGGATCAGGTGGAGAGGGAGGTGGGAGGGGGGATCGGGATGGGGAATACATGTAAATCCATGGCTGATTCATGTCAATGTATGACAAAAACCACTACAATATTGTAAAGTAATTAGCCTCCAACTAATAAAAATAAATGAAAAAAAATTTTTTTAATAAATAAAGGGGTGCATCTATCACATAAAGTCATAATGTTGCAGGCTGGCAATGTTATATTTGGATATATTTGGGTATATTTGGACACTTTGATAAACCTCTTGTACTTTGGTTTGAGAAACTTCTGCAATTTGGCAAGAAATTCTCTGTATAGGCCAAGATTTGGGCCATAAATGTTTGGAAATAATAGTAATATCAGATCCAGTATCAAGAAGACCAGAAAATCTTTTGCCATTAATTTTAATATTTATATTTGGTCATGCATATTCAGATACTATTGATGTCAATAAGGATTACTTTTGATCTGTACTACCAAATCCATCTGTCTGTATACCATTAGAGGAGTTAAAGAAATGTAAGGTAAAAGAAATAATTGGGCAATTTTGTCCCCCTTTTTGAATTGCCATAGTATCTGAGATGACATCATAATTTGAATTTCTCCCTTATAATCTGAATCAGTTATACCAGGGTGAACAGTAATTCCCTTAAAAGTCAGACTAGATCGGCCAAGTATAAGGCCAAAGGTTTGTGGGGGTAGGGGTCCATAAAGTCCGGTAGGTATTCTAGAAGGGACTGCTTGAGGAAAAAGAAGAAAATCATTTAGGGCTGGTATATCGATGGCAGCACTGCCAGATGTTTGAGGGAAAAGATGGAGTTTGCCCCTGGTTTTTGTTGATGGGGACCCGGGGAGTCCCCATCTTTGAGTTTCCCGAAATAGGATTTCCCTCAACATCATATTTAGATCAACATTCTTTAGCCCAATGTCCCCCCTTATGACAGCGAGGGCAGACTCCTGGAGGTTTTTTAATAGTTTTCCTTTTTCTGTGCATTTTTTAGGGCAATGCTTTTTTAAATGGCTCTTATCCACACAAACAAAACATCCTTCATTCCCCTTTTTAAAAGCAGCAGGCATTGCTTCTGCTAACATTTGCATTTTCTGAGTTTCTGATCCTGAGTTGTGACAAGCCTTCAAATAATAACATTCCCGGTCTTACAAATCGAAGTGATGGCCCTTTGACATTCCTGATCCGCATTCTCATATGCAAGCAGTTTTTCTAACTGTGCTCTGGCTTCCTCTCCAACAACACTACAGGAGATAGTAACTCCCAGCCTAGCTAAAAAATCAGCATAGGCTTCGTTAGGCCCTTGTAATATCTTTGTGTAGCTACCTTTAGGTTCCCCTTGAGTAGTAATTCGATCCCAAGCTTCAAGGGCAACTTCTTTCAATTGCTCACGCAACAAAGGAGGGCATTGTGTCTGAGCTTCCACCAAATTGAATTACCCCATACCGGTTAACATTTCAAAAGTAATTGGGTTTTGGGGATCACCAGCTCAAGCACTAGAATTGGAACGATCTCTGGCCACATCATGAAACCACATTATCCACTGAAGATATTCTCCTGGTTTAAGAAGAGCTTTTATCAAAATTCACCAATCATAAGGAATAAAATTTCCAATAGAAGATGCCATAACATTTAGAAGTTCTTTAGTAAAATGTGAATGAGGGCCGTACATAGTTAGAGCCTTTTTCATTTGTTGCATGTGAGAAAAATCAATGCCTTCATATTGAGGTATTAGTTGTCCTTGAGCCTGAATATTTCTTAACACAGGAAAGGCGAAAAGATCATTGGCCTCAGAGACTTGAGACTGCAAAGCCAGTAAATCAGAAAGCCTTTGCCGTGAAGGAGAATGAGTGGATCGTCCATTTTCATAAATATGAGTGCGTGTTAGGGGTTTATCATTGTCATCAAAAAAAGTATTGTTGGCTTTCGTGTCAAAGAGATCATCAGAAGAATCATCATCAGATTCATTTTGTCCTCTAATTGAGGGGACTTTTGGTTTTGTGCCCGTTATAAGAGGAGGAGGAGGAGCGCTTGGCACAGCCGGAGCAGGGATGGTGGGAAAGCTCTGAAACATTTTATGTTGCTCTAATTGGGCCTTCTGTAAAGTCTCATCATCTAATTCATATTTGTATAACAAGCGTTCCGCTTGTTGATGAATATTAGGGGGGTAGAGTTGCCTTGAAATGGCAAGATCACAGCTTTAATGAGGGCCCATAAGGGCCAGAAATCTATTGGAATATTTTTTCCCCGTCTTGTGGCTCATTCAACATTCTCTTTAACCTGGTTCCAAATTTCTAAATCAAAACTGCCTTCATCAGGGAAACAGGGATTATATTCAACCACTGTTTGGAGACAAGCCTCTATCTGTTGATGCGAAACTGAAAGTCCTTGAACCTTAAATAAATGATGAAGTAAAGTAGAAAAGTGGTGGGGCTTTCCAGCTGTTTGTCCCATAACCCCTCACTTACCCACCTCCGTAGGTCCTAATAGTCACTCTGTCCGCTTACCAAGGGCATTCACCACGTCCCTGTTCAGGTGCCAATTGTCACGGTCTTCTTAAACCAGGACCTGGGGACTGGAGTCGATGAGAAGGATGCAGGGGACCCAAGTCTCGAGTGAAACAAGGGTACTTTATTTGTAGAAATGCATGCTTGTATATCTTCATACAAGGCAGCTTTAGGCAGTAAAAAAATTGAGCAAAAACAGAGCCGAGCAAATAACATCTTCAAAGGGCCAGACTACATTCCATATCCTGAGTAAGGGGGGCATAACTGAATAGATTACCTTTAAGTAAAAGGTCACTGAAGGGAGTCACTGAAAAGAATCCAAGCAAGTGCTCTTTCTCATCATCTCAGTCCTGAGAACTGCATGCAGCTCTGCTCGCTCCCGTTTTCCAGGAACTGATAAGGAATAGAGAGTCCTTGAGAAACGGCACACAAAGGAAGAAAATGGCATATTGGATCCCTTAAAGCTGAACGTCCCCTGACAACAGTGCAACAATTTTACAACTTGCCAAAGGCTTAGAGTGTGGTGAACATTTTTTAGCAATTAAGTGTTTTTAAATTGAGATATTGACGTTAGGCATAATACCATTGTACACTTCATAGACTACAGTATAGTATAAACATAATTGTTATAGGCACTGGGAAATAAAAAAATTGGTGTGACTCACTTTACTGGTGGTATTCATTCACTTTTATTGCTGTAATCTATTACCAAGCTCTTAATATCTCTCTTGTATCCCTTTATTTTAATACATATATATATTTGTGTGTGTGTGTATAAATGTGTATATATATATATATATATCCAGAAATATATGTAGATATGTAGGTACACAGGCTTCCCTGGTGGCTTAGACAGTAAAGAATATGCCTGCAATGCAGGAGACGTGAGTTTGATCTTTGGGTGGGGAATATTCCCTGGAGAAGGGAATGGCTGCCCACTCCAGTATTCTTGCCTAGAGAATTCCAGTTACAGTTCATGGGGTCTCAAAGAGTTGGACACGACTGAACAGCTAACACTTTCACTTCCTTTTCAGGTACACATGGGTTCACATACACTCATACATACATTTGAAGCATGTCCAGCTCCAAAAGGTTGGTTTAAAATGCCCTTCTCCAATAGAAGACATTGTAAGATCCTTGGAGAAATGGCTAATTCTGGGGTTGGAGCAGGGAAAGTATAAAATAAACCCTAGGCTCCTTGAAGTGCCCTAGGTAACTGTAGTCTTGTCTGAGACACCGAACTTCTTTGGGCCATGGAGGCTTTCTCTCCACCATGGAGGGTTACACCCAAGGCTCAGTCAACTCAAATGTCAGCATTCTTTGTGTCTGTTTACAACCCCATGGACTGTAGCCTGCCAGGCTTCTCTGTCCCTGGAATTCTCCAGGCGAGAATCCTGGAGTGGGTTGTCATTACCTTCTCCAGGAGATCTTCCCAATCCAGGGATCAAACCCGGGCCTCCTGTGTTGCAGGCTGATTCTTTACTGTCTAGTCACCAGAGAAGCCCCTAAGAAAACTAGAGGTCAACTTTGCCAATGTAATCATTGAGGATGAAAACAGCAAAGAAAAACTAGGAGAAGAGGCTTTGGAACTAAATCATAGGAGTCAGCAAGGATTTACTCGTCCTTGGCTGTTATGTGTTTGCTTTTCATCGCTTACAGCTACACCTTCAAGTCTTTTCTGTTTAAAACTACAAACTTTTGGAAGCACATTCCTTTGAGATATATCTGAAGGCTTAATAAGAGAAGTACTCTGACAACCTGATTTTTATTAATGTCAGTAACTCAGTCACCCATATTTTCTTTTTTTCTAAGTGTGAGTCCAAGTTCCAGAAGCAAATACATTCCTCACTACACGTAAGTAACATTTCTTAATGTTTTAAAAATTACTAGATTTACATCTGTATTGTAGTTACTTTCCGCTCACTCATGTTTGTAACTCACTCTTTAAAACAATGTACACTTTCTAGCAGATTTCTAATGTTTTCCTAGCATGGTGCCTGTCGACAGTTGTTAAAGATTTTGATAAAAGAAAGCGTTAGCATTTTTTCCAGTTTTCCCAAATTGTTTGTTTTATGAAATAAAATACCTTGGATACTGCTAATATTAGGTGTTGTGAACCAGAAAGACATTTACACTTGACGTGGAAGCTGTAATGGGCTCACATGCTGAAGGGCAGGAAATGCGACCTCTCGCTTTTCTAAATTTAAATCTGACTTCCCGTGGGTGGCACAGAAGCACGTCACCTACCACTTGGGTCTTCTGTGCTTTATACTGGAGAAACACCTAGTGTTTTAGCCGTCTTGGGCTGTTGGCACGGCACGGCATAGACTGGGGCTGCTAACTGCAGACGTTTATTTCCCGCAGTTTTGCAGTCTTGACATCAGGGGTGGCCCAGGGAGAGTCCTTGGCTGGTCACGCGTTTGTGTCCACATGAGGTGCAGGGAATGAGGGGCTTATGGGGCCCCTTTCATAAGGACCCTAATGACTCAAGTGCCTCCCGCCTCCCGATTCCATCACCTTCGGGTGTTAGGATGTCAGCATATACGTTCCGCTGGGGGGACATACACGTTCAGACCACAGTAACTTGGAACAAAGTAAATCCAAGAAATGGAGGAGTCTGGGCCTTTCACCTTTGCTCCCCCACCCGCTCCCCCTCCCCCCATTACTCTAGCCTCGCCTGCTCCCCAGCTGCTTGACTCCTTTTTCTGTGAGTGGCCCCAGAAATGCCTCCAGGACACCCTCTCACTCCCACTGCTGGATTGGGCCTGCTCACAGGCCCGGAAGGCACACTGCTGGCTTCCCAGAACCCCAGGCCTGCGCCCTGTTTCCATCTCCACAGGCGCCTCCTCCGCTCTGGGACACCGCACCTGCCCTGCCCCGGGCCATCTCCAGGCTCCAGGCGAGGGCTTGGCTCCTGGCTGCAGAAACAGCCTCTTTTTTGCTCAGAATCAAAAGCCAGCTGTTACTCTCACTCTGGCCCAAACCGAAGATCAAGTCTTACTCTGAAAAAGAAAATCTCCTTATTTTTTAAGGCAAATTGTTCCCTCACCGTGGTTAATGTATTACATTTTGAATTTTGATCTGTTTTGGCTAGATTTCCTTTGCAAGTTAGGGTATGTTCACCTATGTTTTCTACGTTTCTAATAAAAAATATAAAAACGTCTTTTCATCCCAACAGTGGTTGCGTGCAGTCTACAAATGCCGATGACATTGACAACCCCTGCGGAGACATCACATCTCTCGCCCAGCCTCGTAGCTCTGAAATCCTTTATACAAACTCAAGTCGGTGAGTTCCACCTGTGATTATGCCTCTTACTTTACTATTAAGGAAGAAACGTGGTCATAGGCTTTGCAGTGAATGAAGCAATAGAAAAACGGCCTTGAATAAACAAATTTCTACTGAATAGTGCAGGGAACTATATTCAGTATCTTATGATAAAATCATAATGGAAGGGAATATAAAAAAGGATGTGTATATAACTGAGTCACTTTGCCGTATAGCAGAAATTGGAACAACATTCTAAATCAACTGTACTTCAATAATTAAAAAAACAGAGAACGGCCTGGTACTGAGCACAACTTAAGAAGAAAGATACTTGTTTCCTGAAAGGACTATAGTTTCTCACAAAGGAGATTGCAGTTTTGAACACTGACTAACCTGGGTTTACAACCAATGTTTTGTGTATGTGTATATGTATATATATATATATATTTGCCTTCACTCATGGAAATACTGAAGCTCAGAAATTGCTTCATTAGGGTCATTCACAAGACACACTACAATAAGCTGATGTTCTCTGTGTTTTTTTTTTTTAAATTTGTTGGAGTAGATTTATAATGTTGTGTTAGTTTCTGCTGGAAAGCAAAGTGAATCAGATATATATATAGATATCTATCTATCTATATCTATCTATCTATCTATATATTCCACTCTGTTTTAGGTTCTTTTCCCATGTGGGTCATTACAGAGTATTGAGTGGACATTCCAGAGTATTGAATAGAGTTCCCTGTGCTGCTCAGCAGGTCATTACTAGTTATATTCTTCATATACACTAGTGTCAGTACAAGGGCTTCCCCAGTGGCTCAACAGTAAAAGAATCTCCCTGCCAAGCAGGAGATGCAAGCTCAATCCCTGGAGGAAGAAACGGCAGCCCACTCCAGTACTCTTGCCTGGGAATTCCCATGGACAGAGGAACCTGGCAGGCTGTAGTCCATGGGGTTGCAAAAGAGTTGGACAGGATCAGCGGCTAAACAACAACAGCAACAGTATGTGTGTGTTAATCCCAGTCTGCTGTTTATCCCTCCCAACCCTCATTCCCCAGTCACCGTAAGTTTGTTTTCTGCGTCTGTGACACTCTTTTGTAAATAAGTTCATCTGCACCATTTTTGTTTAGATCCAACATATAAGTGATAGCATGTGGCATTTGTCCCTGTCTTACTTCACTCAGTCTGACAATCTCTGGGTCCAGCCATGTTGCTGCAAATGGCATTATTTTGTCCTTTTTGTGGCTGAGTAATGTTCTGTGGAAAGCATGTACCAAATTTTCTTCATTATGCCTCTGAGCTGTACACATCACTGCTGGTACACCTTCAGTTTCTCTGATGACTGGAAGGCTTGCAGAGGTCCTGTAAGCCTATAGTGTGAATCACCAACAGTATTTTAAATGTCAGTTGCTCTATTTTTTTTTTAAACATCCGTTGTGCCAAAATAACAAACCGGCTCAGTTTCACATTGGCTGTCCTTCATACCTGTTCTACATCCCCTAATAATTTTGAATTTTCATGTGTTACACATTCTGACATCCTAATCCTTTTGACTACTTGACCAAAGTAAACTATGTTTCAAAAGTAACTTTGGTTTTAAATTCTATCTCTATAACTTACTGCATTGAAGAAACAGTAGAGTTGTTATATTTCAACCAATAAGAAAGAGAGAAAGAAAAGAAGTGTACATAAAGTATTCCAGGTACTGTACCAGACAGCCCTCACGTAGCTTGCAAACCTGCAGGGCCGGTGAGCTCTGCACCCCAGTGATGATAGAATAAGGCAGGGTGGAGTGAGGCTCCGGGGAAGCAAGTTTAGTGTTCTTGGTCTTGGTTGTATGGAGAGGTCACTTTTATCCACAAGCCTTGCAGGCTGTGACGTCTTAGCTGAGTCCTAAGGAAGGATTTCTCTGTTCTGATTCTTGCCTAATTTCTGGAGGGAAATGATTGCAATTAAAAGTAGAAATTCTAAAAAAAAAGTTTAAGAGTGAACGTAAGAATAAAGTCAATTGAAAATATTCTCTGGCATCAAATTTTCTAGTATTTTTCCGTTGAAATGTACTTCTGAATTTTGAACTGTTTTATGAAACATTCTTTCTGAATGTATTCTTCTGGATCACTCTTCATGGAGAGCAAAGAGCAGTCTGGCAGCATTTTAAAAATTGGATGTAGAACATGCTATTTAACTTGAGTAAAGTTTGGGAGCATGCCCTTCCATCTCATCTTGATGTTAGTATTTTTAAGAAAAGGAAATTTGAGTGGATCATGTAGAATTGGACATTAACTGTACTTACATGAATTGGGCACTAGAGGGCCTCCAAGGTTGCAAAGTTTCTTCTTTGGGGTGAGGTTTCAATTTTTAATAGAATTTTAATGGAGCATAGGTGGTTTAGCGGTAGAATTCTCACCTGCCCAACGGGAGGCCCGCGTTGGATTCCCCAGCCTTGCAGCCGCAGCGTCCCCTTTAAGGATTCCCTGGTGGCTCAGACCCCTTTAAAGAATCTGCCTGCAATGCAGGAGACCTGGCTTTGATCCCTGGGTCATCGGGAAGATCCCTGGAGAGCTACAGCTACCAACTCCAGTATTCTTGCCTGGAGAATTCCGTGGACAGAGAAACCTGGCGGGCTACGGTCCACGGTGTCACAAAGAGTCGGACATGACTGAGCAGCTAACACTTTCATTCACTTTAACTTTAAAAAGTTAAAAAGGCTTTCCATTTTTATTATGAGATATAGATACAAAATATGTAGTGTCATATGTAAAATATAAAGCAAAATAACAAGGAAATGCCTGTGTCCCAGGGCTAGCTAAGCAAATAGTATTTTATTCACATCTTTTAAGCTGCCTGTATATTCCTTACAACCGCATCTCCTGTGTTTACTTCCCCAACCCAGAAGTCATCACATCACTCTTCGTGCTTATCCTCTGCTTTCTTTGCTTGGTAGCTTTGCTACATATACTTGAATCTCTAAACAAAATACTGTGTAGTTTCTACAATACCACACTGAGCCAAGTACAGAAGATGCATGCAGTGTGATGTCATCTACATAAGGTCCAAAACCCAGAAACGCGTAAACTTACTTTGTGCCCAATAGAGTACCATCCTACTCAAAAGCAAAGATGACTCTTCCTTGGTTTTCTCACCTTAAACTTTCCTAAAGGGAAACGTCTTTATGAGATCATCTTTAAGGATCTCCTCATAACCCATGCCACTTAGGCCAGGAACACTGCCTGCCCCCGCCCCCCCACCTTTCAGTGGAAGCCGCATTTCAGACAGAGTCAAGGCTACAGACTCTTGGGTTCAGGGGTTGGAATCACCAGTTTCCCCAAAAGGTGAATGCTTTCAAATGTTCCTTATTCATTGATTTCGTATTCTGGGCACCAAGTCATTTGAGATGCCCAGTGTATTGGTGGTGATTATGCTAATAGTTTTAAAATTAACTTTTAAAATTGTAGAACCGAATCTGATCATTATAGAAAAAAATTACAGAAAAAATTAATAAAAATATAACTAAACTGTCACATAAAAAGCATAGCTGTTATTAAGATTTTGGCATATTTCCATCTGCATCCTTCATCTTCCTTGTGTGTATTTATACAGCTGTGATCATGCTACATATGTAATTTTTACTGCATTCACTTTATAGCATCATCATGGGCACATGTTATTATGAACTCATCATAATTTTTTATTTGTGTAGATCGTAATTTTTTTATTTTTATAGATGTACTGTCATTGACTTCCAGGGGGCTTCCCTGGTAGCTGAGCCAGTAAAGAATCTGCCTGCAATGCTGGAGACCCCAGTTTGATTCCTGAGTCGGGAAGATCCCCTGGAGAAAGGATAGGCTACCCATGCCAGTATTCTTGGGCTTCCCTGGTGGTTCAGATGGTAAAGAATCCTCCTGCAATGTGGGAGACCTAGGTTCAATCCCTGGGTTGGGAAGATCCCCCAGAGGAGGGCATGCAACCCACTCCAGTATTCTTGCCTGGAGAATCCCAAAGGACAGAGGCACTTTACAGGCTACAGGTCGCAAAGAGTCGGACATGGCTGAGCAACTAAGCGCAGCACACACAGCACTGTCTGACTGTGCATTTAGGTTACATATGTAAATGCTTTCTGCTTTTACTATGATAAATAATGTCAAATACTTTTTAAGTGGGTCTTTTTCATAACTTGGAGTTACTTACTAAAGGGAGACTCCTTGCAACAGACTATGAGGTCAGAATATATAAACGTATTTACAGTGGAACCATAGTTTACATCCAGTGTGTGTACTCACACCTTCAGTGCTAGCATTTAAGCTCACCAAATAGCTCCTTCTTTTCCTTCCAAATGTGTTTATTATAAAAACAACTCAATTATATTTGTAAAAAGTAAAATACCTCTTTCTTTCATTCTCAGTCTCAGTATTGAAAGTTGATACATATTTTAGACTTTGCTGCCAGGCCTGCTTGAATGTCTGTGTGTAGGCAGCTACACATTGTTGTGTGTGAGGTGGGGAGGTGTGGGGCGGTATAAGATTGACAGGTGCAATGGACATTTTCCTCAGCAGTGGGCAGGGCTGTGAAAAATCCTTTTTAATGGCTGTGTGATATTCCACTGCCAGTTGTAGTTTATGTGGGCCAAGTAGTTATTGAAATTTCTTCTATTGTTAAAAAGTACAGCAATAAACAACTTCCACATTATCTTTGCACAATCATGCATACATTTCTTTTAGAACAAATCCCTAAAAGCAGAATTCTTGCATGAGTTTTGCATTAAATTTTTTTTTATTTGGTAGGCATGACCTATTATTAAAAGATATTCAGAGTTAAGGAATTCAAGACAGTAACTCAGTCTCCACTGAAGTTCCTAACTGTCTCACTTGAGCCTCCTTTGGAAACCAGAATCCACAGTAACCACTAGATTCAACAGGAGTTCTGGAAGTTCAGGGAACTGAGTAGGAATTAAAAAAAAAAGATACAAAGTCACTCCTCACTTATAATCTGTGTCAAGCAAGCAAGGGAAACATAAGGAACCCC